TAAAAGGCGGGGTTTGAATGATTCAGCTAATCGACGACAAGGAAACAGGGAGCCTTGAGGACATGCCCAGCCTCTTCCTGTGCTCGCCGCGAGCCGGTGCGTCAGGAGCTGTTTCTGATGATCAGCGAGACTCTGGCCTGGGTAGCAAGGTCGTGTGCTGCAAAGCAGATGATCTATCATAAAGGACTGTGACTTCTGATTTCCCCCGAAGAAACTCTCCACATGCAGAGCATCCTGGCCTTCCTAGCCAACTCTGAGGGGTCCAGTCTGCTCTCCTTCCCACTGGGCATCAGTGCACATGTTCGCTTCCTGCATTTTCAGATGAGGTTTACATTTACCCAGTCTGGATAGAAAGGTGATGGGGTGCAGGGCAGGATGCCACCAACAAAGAGTAGAATTCTGTCGATTTAAAGACCTCTTTGACGATGGTAAGGATTGGGGATTTAGTCCCAGATTCATTCACATCTTAGAGCACGTCTCAGTACTCAACCAGGGGCTTAAGTCTTCAAGATCTGCATCCCACTCGCTGGGTCACCCAGGACACCTCAGCCATCCCAAAGCCTAACCCATGTTTGGAAACCCGTACCAAAGAACGGCAACGCTTCTCCTTGCCGAGCGAGGAATGGCCGAGAAGGAAGGAGCGGATCCTTGGCAAAATGAAACCCGAGCGAGTCTTCCTTCCAAAGTCTGGATGCCCGGGTTTCAAAAAGAATCATTTCTTTTCCCAACAGTTTCATTGGCATCCAGTTTACGTGTCATGCCATTCACTCGTCCGAGTGCGTCAAGAAGGGCGGTCTGGGGATGCGAGTGTTAAAATGTGTTTATAAGCCCTGCATCACATCAGTCACATCCTTGTGCTTCCGTGGACGGGCAGCTGTGAGCGCCTCACTTGGTGATGCCGGTACATTCGCAAGAAGTGAAAAACCATGGGTAACGGGGACTGGCCTTGTAAGCAAGGCCTCAGTAAGGCCTGGTCTGAGAGCAGCAGTGGGAGGCAGGGTGTGCCATCCGAATCTTGGGTGCCTGGTTCAGGAAGGAGATGATGTCTCTTAAGGAGAAGTCTTTTAATAGCTCTTCTCTTGGAATGGCAGGATCTGGGGAACAATGGCCGATCCAGTATCTGGAGGAGAATTTCCTACGGGTACTGCTATTTTTAGGTGTTTTGTGCCGACTTCTTCCTTAGTTCTTCTCTCAGGAACCCCACCCACCCTTTCTCCCTGCCACCCCACCCCCCATGTTCTTTGTAATTTATATATCCTGCTCCTCTGACTTTTCCAACCCTAAACAAAAGGGTTATTTTCAGGTAGTGGCCAATGAGGCACAATGGCTTTGTAAACAGGGACCTTGTCTGAGTTAATGATTATCACCCTGTTTGGGCTTTCACTGTAGATCAAAGGACATTTGGGGATTTGGCTTCATGCAGCATTGAAAGGTTCAGAGACTGATCTGGAGTGGCAGACAGAAGCACATCAGCAGAGTCTCCTTGCATGTGAGCTGCCTCTTGTTTCGTCCTGGTTTTCTCCTCTGATCCCTCTCCAGCGGTTACACAAACAACCTTGGAGTTGGTAGAAACCACTGTGAGCATATGGGTCAAGGACCTGCGCCCCTGTCCTTGGTGCCTCTCTCACTGTGTCTCTGAGGCCGTGCTCAGAAGGGGTGGGCGTTCTGACGTGACCTGGCATTGTGCTTAGCTGTGCCTAGTCCTTTCCACAAGAACTCTTCCAGCTCTGAAGTGTTAGTGGGAGTGCAGTAGCAAGACCCCAGAAGAGGCAAAACCAGGACGTGCTAGTAATACTGATGAACCGGCATAGGCCTTTTATTTTCCCTTTGCCTTGTAAGACATTTAGAATGATGATGAAGGGAGAAAGCAGCAGCTTGAAATAAAACCAACGACCGTGTATTGGGAACATCCCGCCAGGAAAGATGTGGGGAGGTGGGGATGAGTTACTTCATGGGGTGAAGAGTGGAGGTCACAAGTTACTGTCCGGAGGAGAATCGTGGCGCCTCCGCTGTGGAGCGGGTAGAGGAACTCCTTCGCCGGGTGCAATCTCAACATCCTCATATGGAGGCCCTGGTTGAAAAGCGGAACACAGAGAGTTCAGTAGGTTCAGGGCTTATCTGCTAAACCAGGCGCCACCACCACCACCCCACCCCGACCCCGGGGGCAGGGGGCCAGTGGTGGCGGGGGATGAGCCAGGATGTCCCCATCCCATCCCCCTAAGAAGCTGTGAAGAGAAGTCACGAAACAGCTATGCGTAGGTGAGAAGAGCCCTGGGAAATGCACTGTGCTTCTAGAGGGCCGTAAGCGTTGTCCCCTCTCTCTAACATCACCCGATTGTGGCCAGTCCCCTGCCACGTTTTCGCAGGTTGAGCATGTGGCCATTGTGAGCCAAGGCTGACAAGAGCCCATGACTTCAATCACGACAAGGACAATCACTCAGAGGGTTGTTGGGGTGGCCTTTGTTTAAGCTTTTTAAAATGTGGATTTGTTTTTAAGCCATTTCTCGGGGTATTCTGATTCCCATTCATAAGACTTGGTGGCACCTTACATCTCTCGATTGCCCTTTTACTGTGAGCACAGGGTTGCCGGTGGATCCTGGGCAGCAGAAGGAGTGCGGGTGGGGTAGTGGTTACATTGTCGGGCAGCTAACCGCAAGGTCCGCAATTGGAAACCACAAGCCACCCGCAGGGAGAACTAGGCGGCTTTCTACGCCTGGAAAGGGTTTCCATCTCAGAAACTGGCCGGGCCAGTTCTAGTTTGTCTTCTACACGGTGTAGAAATGAGTCTGTGGTAGTGTGTTTGGGTTCCCTGTGATTCCTGAGACGGAAACCTGGTGGCATAGTGGTTACACACGTTGGGCTACCAACAGCAAGGTCAGCAGTTTAAAACCACCAGCTGCTCCTCAGGAGAAAGACGGGGTGTGTTAATCCGGGTGGACTAGAGAAACAAATTCATAGACACACTCATGTGTATAAGAAAGAGCTTTATAGAAAAGAACAATTGTATATTGAGAAAATATCCCAGCCCAGTCCAGATGAAGTCCATAAGTCTGATATTAGCCCATAGGTCCGATACCAATCTATAAATTCCTCTTCAGACTCATGCAACACATGTAATGATGCTGAGTGCAGGAAGATCACAGGCCAGCGAGTGGAAAGTCTTGTGGATCCAGTGGTGGTGGAAGCATCTCACTGCTGGCAGGGGTCTCCACGTGGTTCCTCCAGCTCCAGGACTTTAGTATAGCTCCATTTGTCTTATCTGCAGGAATGTCTTGCAGGGAGTGATTATGTGTCCTGCCTCCAATGAGCTATTTATCTCCTTTGCGCCTCCAAATGAGGTCTTCAAGCTGCGACCAGATTGACAGGCTAAACTTCACCCCTTTAACTCTTAATAGTCTCAGGTTGACAACAGATTATGTCACTACCACATGGGGCTTTCTACTTCCATGAAGAGCTCCTCTTGGAAACCCACAGGAGCAGTTCTACCCTGCCCTATAGGATCACCATGAACTGGTGTGTTAGTCTGGGTAGACGAGAGAAACAAATCCAGAGATACTCATACATATGTAAAATAGAACTTTATATGAAAAAGCAGTTGTACATTAAGAAAACATCCCAGCCCAGTTCAGATCAAGTCCATAACTCCGATATTACCCCATATGTCGATACTAGTCCATAAATTCCTCTTTAGACTCACACATCCAGACAATGGTGCTGAATTCAGGAAGATCACAGGCCAGTGGGTGGGAAGTCTTGTGGATCCAGTGGTGGTGGAAGCATCTCAGCATTGGCATGGGCCTCCACGTGGCTCCTCCAGCTCCAGGGCTCTGGCTGCATCAGTGTAGCTCCATGTGGCTGGTCAGCAGGAAGACAAAGCAGAGAGAGTGGGTCTGCCCTCCAGTGAGCTATGTATAGCCTTCCTGCCTCCAAATGAGGTCATCAAGCTGCGACCTGATTGACAGGCTAGACTCCGCCCCTTCCCTCTAGTTGCCAGGAGATGATGTCACTGCCCCAGTGGGCAGCATGGACTCATGACAGTGAGGGGTGATCCCAGGCCATCTCTAGGACAGCTCCCGTAGTGGCTGAGATGGAAGGAACACGGTGATTTATTTTTGGCTGTTTGCAATTTTAGTCTGTTTTTATAATTTGGTGGGTAAGGGAGCAATGGTGGAGAGTGGATTCTCTTCGTTCTTCAGTGGTGGAGAGGGATGGTGTTTTATTCTGTAAGCAAAGAGATAAAAATAAATAAACAGACAAACAAAACAAGAACCCTGACTGTGATCTACACTGATGTTCTTAGAGGCTCCCTTAAACTGGAAAGTTTAAAATTCACCATGTGGGGGAGTCTCTGAAGGGCCCGATGAATGCATCTGAGTTTGCAAGAGCAGGTAATCCAACCAATGTACACTGTGTCCAAGCAGAGGTCAAAGAGCCAAAATGGCATAAATGCATGTTGAGAAAACCTATATCATCATATGAAAATTGAGCGTTCTACTCAGTACCTGTGTGCCCATTGTCAGCTACTTATTTTATACAGTGTGAAATGAGAGTTATTAAATATGGCATATGGATTGGCAAAACACTTTTTTAAAATATAAGATTAAAAAGTTGATTTAAATAAAAATACTCAGTTGTAAGCATTTAAGTCCAAAAGAGTGGCAAGCTTCCCCCCACCCCCCTCTAATTTTCTAAAAATAGGTTGCCTTTGAATTAAAACCATATATGGAATATTTATCCCTAAAGGAGATTTTCCCCCTTCTTAGTTTTGAATTACTAAGACTATTTTGCATTCTTAACTATCGCATTCATTACTATGAATAGATTTAAATTTTTACTTGGGCAAATTTGTACTGAATTTTAGACAACACTTAAGAAGTATTACATAGAAGAACCACTACTTCTAATACTACAATTTTTTATGTGTAAATAGAAAGACAAATTTCTAAAGCAGAAATGGGGGATGGGGAAAGAAACCTAAGCTTAATATACACATATATTTTTAAAATGTGGAACGCTTCATGAATTTGTGTGTCATCCTTTCACAAAGGCCATGCTAATTTTCTCTGTTTTGTTCCAATTTTAGCATATGTGCTGCCAAAGTGAGCACTTAATATATTTTTTTACTTACTAACATTAGTTAGACGGGTAAAAGAGTTATACTAATATTTTTATCTAAATGTAGGTTCTCATTTCTATAAAACGTTCCCACCTGACCCTCAGACCTTAATCCATTTTGTGTATCTTGAAATAATGTGGAAACTACAGCAAGTATTTATTTTTGTTAGCTGTGGATAACCTTGTTCTGCACCATCGTGAAGCTCTTCGGATCTTGCATGCATCCGGCTTACCGCCCAGCACCGCCTCCCCCAGTGGAACGGTGGTTAAACCCACCTGCTTATTCAGATGCAGGGTGCGAACGAGTAGATAGAACCACCAGCTTATAAAAGGGTATAATACCAACAACCTTTTTTTGTCCTTCTCAGGAACAGTCTTTTCGTTCATGTAAGAAAATACAGGCAGCTTACTTATAAGCAGATGTTGGATTTTGTGTGCAGGAGTATAAAATGTTCTGGCGATGCGGACAAAAAGTAGGAGCACATTTTCTTTCTTAAATCGAACTGAGGGATAGTCTATGTGTTAGTTTGGGTGGACTAGAGAAACAAATCTTACAGACACTCATATGTGTTTAAGAAAGAGCTTTATATACAATAGCAATTGAATATTGAGAAAACATCCCAGCCCAGTCCAGATCAAGTCCCTAAGTCCAATATTGGCCCATAGGTCTGATACCAATCTATAATTTCCTCTTCAGACTCACGAAATGCATGCAATGATGCCAAATATGGGATGATCACAGGCCAGTGGATGGAAAGTCTTGTGCATCCAGTGGCGGTGTAAGCATCTTAGTGCTGGCAAGGGTCTCCTCATGGCTTCTCCAGCTCCAAGGCTCTAGTACAGCTAGTGTAGTTCAGTGTGTCTTGTCAGCTGTAGTATCTCCCAGGGAGTCAGCCGAGAGTGTCTCCCGCCTCCAAGGAGGAAGACAGGAGTTCCAGAATCCTCAGGAGAGGGCCATGCCCACACAGAGGCCTCATTGGCTATGACCTGATTGACAGGCTAGACTTTACCCCTTCACCCTCAAATTGACAAACGATTATATAACTACCACAGTCTATATATTTTTAAAGCATTCATGAATCTTTTCTGAGCAGGTGGTCAGCAGTGCATACCTATTTAAGAAGGCAGCATTGAGGATTTAGGAGAATGGTTGAGTCTTGCTTTCATATCTCCAAAAACTGGTCTGATTGCAGCTCCTTTGAGATGTATGGGCCAGACCAAGGATGAGCTGTGGTGTCAAAAAAAACAAAACAAAAAACAATTCACTAGCACTCTATCACTGAGTCACAAAGACCCTACAGCTATAAATCTTTACGGGAGTAGATAGCCTCATCTTTCTCCCAAGGAGTATCTATCTGGTGGACTTGAACTGCCAGCCTTAGGGTTACACTCCAAGGCTTGCTCAGCATCGCCAGAAGTGGGCTTATATTTGGAGCACACAATCCCCTAGGTCCCACAAATGTTGAGACCTGTCATTCTCGTCTTCCCTTCTTCTATTCATCCGTACAATCAGTCATCTGAACGAGTCTGGGTGTTATAACCCCCTCGGTTGCCAGGAATCCATTTTCTGCAAGAATACATGTAATCCACTGGTAACACAATTAAATGGCCAGGGTTAGTTTCAGCATCAGGCATGGTGGTATCTAGGCTACCATCATTAAGAACTTCTAGCTCCTTGCTCCCCTTCCCCCAATCCCTAGGCTCTGACGCCTCTCTGGTGTTTCACTCTCAGTAACTGAGTGATTCGATAGACTCGCAGAAAGGGCATAATTTTTCTACGAGCTTCTCAATAACTGGAGCTGCAGACTTCTCTCTAATGAGCACAGTGGTAAGACTGGCCTATTGGCAGCCACATGAATTCTGGCTTTCAGGCGATTTCTGAAATGGAAATGTATATGAGGGGGTACCAAAAAAAGGGAATTTTTTTTCAAATGCTAGGTATTTAAATTAAAAAAAAAAACATCACCTTCAAAGTACTCTCCGTTACAATTAATACATTTGCCAAATCTGCAATTCCATTCTTAGAAACACTTTTCAAACTCACCTGTTTGGATGGCTGACAGCACCTCCCTCGTTTTCTTCAGCTCTTCTATGCATAGTCTAATTGCTGTCCTTTCCTTCCCTCCTCTTCAGTCTCAGAAAGAAGATTTACACAGAGCAAGACCACCTGAGTCAAGTGCATGGAGCAAGAGAGGCATGATATTTTCTGTCAAAAACTGGCACACTGAGATGGCTGAGCGAGCTGGCGCATTGTCATGGTGGCAAAGTCAGTCTCGCGTCTGCCACAAATAAGGCCTTTTTTGGTCCCACACTGTTATACAATCTTTTCAGAACCTCTAAATAGAAAGTTTGATTAACAGTCTGACCTGCTGGAATGAATTCCAAATGTACTACAAGAGTCGATATTTTTGTCTGTTTGGGGTGTTCACGACAGACTTCCAGAACGAGGTTTGTCATCAATATCACCTTTTTGGAAATGAGAAAACCACTTGTACACTTGAGGTTTTTTTCCCTAGCACTGTCCTTGTAAGCTGTGTTCCACATCACAACAGTTTCTGTGGCATTTTTCACGGGCAGGAACCAAAATTTCACAGCCACATGCTGTTCTCTTAAGTCAGCCATCACGAAAAACGAGGTTCGAGTGAAACGGCTTTTACAAAAAAATTCACTGTGACCAGAGAGAACCTTCCCAAGCGATGACACTGGGTGCACTAACTCAGAGGAGGTGCTAGATGCTCGCCTAGTCAGGGAAAAGCTTACTATGATGGCTCCCCCCCACTCAGAGCAAGTCGGGGTGGTTCTTGTTGTTGTTTGGGGGGTTCCCCTGGTGCAAAAGTAGCCAAGAATAAGATAAGCCAGAGGTGAAATATAAGAGGCCGGAGGAGCTGGGGTCAGACCTCCAGTTCTGGGAACCACCACCAAATATTCAGAGGCCTGGAACTGAGCAGGGAGAGGTTTTAAACCGTCAGAGGCAAAGTCACATCTGAAAATAAATACAGGATTGCCTCAGGCTTGTATCAGTTATCTATTTACCTTTTGATTGTAGCGGGGGATGACAGATCTCACGGCAGACCCCAAAAATGAAAACCATCCGCTGCTGTGGAGTCGCCTGCCTCACGGTGACCCCAGGTGCATCCGAACAGGACTGTGCTCCACGGGCGCTTCAGACGCTGACGCTTCAGATGTGTTGAGTGGGAGGCCTTTGCCTGCCTGCCTGCCTGCCTTCCCGTCTCTTGTCCCACTCCCTCTACTCCTTCCCGCACTCTTTCTCTTAGCCTCCATCATCTCACGAATAAGGAGTCCTGAAGGCATATAAAAGCCTCAGGCGACTTGGTGGGTAAGCCATTGGACTACACTGTCGTCATTACAGGGTTGAAGGTTCAAACCCACTGGCTGTTCCAATGGTGTGTGTGGGGGGGTGGATGTGGCTGGCTGCTCCCACAAAGGTTTACAGTCTGGGAAAGCCTAAGGAGCATGACTGCTTGGTCCTGTAGGGTCTCTAAGAGTCAGAGTTGACTCCGTGCCTTGGGGTTTTGGGTCTCTATAATGTGGAAGGGGGAGCTGTTTTTTTGTTTGTTTGTTTGTTTGTTTAAGAATGTGTTTTGTCCTTGGATCTGGGCAGTGGGCTCCGTCGCTCTCTGGCTCTCTTTCTCCTGTAGGAGTGTTTACTTTACCCGGCAATGAGTATATTATTTTTTTTCCCAGGTGGTTTTTATGTATGTTAAATTCTGGTTTGAGTAGACTACATTTGCTGTAAACACCCAGATTGCAAATGGTACCAGGGTGCAATAAAAATAAAATGTTATTATTGCAGTAGTCAATATCCATAGATCGAGAATGAGCTCTGCTCCTATTTCCTTTTTCCTTCTCATTTACCGAAGAAGTACTTAGCCTCTTCGCCACTTTTTTGCACAAATCAGAATGTACCCTATTTGTTCTGTGTGTCCAAACTGAAAGTTAATGAATTACAAAAGAATGCTTATTTTATGGAATGGCATTTTTTAAAAAACCTCTATATGCATGAAGTACGCAGGACTAGGCAGTGGCTTTGAACGCAGTGATGGTCTTGTCAAAGCAGAGATTATATTTCTTCCCGTGAGTTTTCTAAATCTCCCTCGGAGTCTGGTAATTCTCTTTCTGGACTAAATAAGGCAGAACGCATTATGCCTTTGTCATCTATTTGCTAACACTTAAATAAACTTTACTATCTTGTGCTTTCCTTAGCCCTTACGGAAAGTAAAACCTTATCTTTGTTTAGAGAGAGTGCATTGATTTATTTTGTAAAGAAACGCCAAGGCCTTTAGCAAGAAAGGGAGGTAGTGGTAGTGGTGTTTTCTTCTCATTAAAACAGTCTGATCCTAGAATTTGGGGAATGTTTGCAAGGCCCTTTGATAATGAATAAATAAGGCTCCGGTGACATGTATAGAAAAGGGGTGGGGGTAGATTTTCAACATTAAGAATAAACCTAAGCCCGGGTTTGCTTGGGAAAAGAACAAAGGAGAGAAGGGTCTACACAGCAGACTTGCTCCAAACCCGTGTTCCTGAGTCTCAGCGCCGACCGTCTACGCAGTGAACTGGGAGCCCTACACGATTGTGCTCGTCCGTCGCAGGGCCTGTGATGTTGCCCATTGCATTGTGAAGTCTGACTTTGGGGCAGGCTGGCTCACTCTGGGGTTGATTGGCTACAGATGGTCTTGGGGAGCAAACGGCCCTTCATAACCCTTGAAAGGTTGCAATTCCGTCCCCCGTAGGATTCACCGCCAGCTGAAACAGCAGCAGGGAAAGAGTTCATTTCTGCTTCGGAGGGCAAGAGCAACACTTGTGGTTATGTCTGTCTGGAAACTCATTCTGTGGTTTCCGAGAGACGCCACCCTGAACCCTGGAAGTAAGAGCAACACACACTGTGCTTACCTGGTACTGCATTTTGGGTTTCTTTCTCAAAAGGAGCCTGGAGCTTTGTGTTGTCTAGCTCGTTTTTCTGTTCACCTTGGT